CTGGTCAGATCTGTCGTTATCTCAACCCTTTAAGCCCCACACGGGGAGCCAAAAGAAACTGTCATGGTTCAAGCCCAGCCGGCAACACAGAACCACGCAGCCACTCACTCCCTCCCCCCACTCCCAGAGGGATGGGGAGGAGAATCGGAGGAATGTAACTCCCACGGGCTGAGATAACAGCACTCCAGTAACTAAGGTATAATACAAATCACTACTGCTACCAATAATAATGATAAGGGAAATAACAAGGGGAGAGGACACAACCGCTCACCACTCGCTGACCGATACCCAGCCCGACCCGAGCAGCGTTCTGGGCCTTCCGGGTAACTCCCCCCAGTTTATACACTGGGCATGACGTGCTGTGGTATGGAATACCCCTTTGGCCAGTTTGGGTCAGGTGTCCTGTCTCTGCTTCCTCCCGGCTTCCCCTCCTCCCTGGCAGAGCATGAGACTGAGAAAGTCCTTGGTCAGAGTCAACATTACTGAGCAACAACTAAAAACATCGGTGTTATCAGCGTTGTTCCCAGACTGAAAGTCAAAAACACAGCACTGCACCAGCTACTAAGAAGGAGAAAAAAAATGACTGCTGTAGCTGAACCCAGGACAACAACCCAGCAACACAACAGGGCACAAGCAGTCCAGAAGGTTTGCATTGGTGAAAAATTCCTAGCACAGATGAACAAAGAGCTGATGAAGGGAGACACTCTGACAGATCTCATGATCTCATACTTACAAAGAAGGACAGGTCAGGGATGAGAAGATCAAGGGCAGCCTTGGCTGCAGTGACCACAAGATGGTGGAGTCAGGATTTTAAGAGATGGGAACAAAACAAATAGGTGGATAACATCCTGGAACTTCAGAACAGAAGACTATGATCTGTTCAGGGATCTGCTTGGAAAAAAATTCATGGGACATGGCCCTGGAAAAAAGAGGGGTCCAGGACAGCTGGTTGATTTTAAGGATCACTTCCTCCAAGCTCAAGAATGGTCCATGCCAGTGAGCAGGAAGCCAAGCAGCACTGGCAGGAGGCCTGCATAGACCAAAAAATTGCTCCTGGCAAAACTCAAATGAAACATACAAGAGGTGGAATCAGAGAAAGTTGACACAGAAGGAACAGAAACACTGTCTGAGCACACAAAAACAGAATTAGGAAAGTCAAAGACCACCTTGTGTTGCATCTAGCAAGAGACATGAATGGCAACAAACAAGAAAGGCTTACACAGCAGCAAAAAGATGGCATGGGCCCACTGCTGAATGAGAAAGATCATGGAAAGGCTGGGGAACCAACAGCTTTCTTCATCTTGGCCTTTAGCAGTAAGATCAGCCTTCAGCAATATCCCAGACCCCTGAGATCAGAGCTGGCCAATATGACTGGCAAGCCCACTTTCAAACAAATTTTGAAAGGTTGTAGCAACAGGGGTTGGCTCCTGAGGACTGGAAGGCAGCAAAGGTTATTCCTGCCTTCAAGAAGGGCAAGAAGGATCTGAGTGACTACTTACCAGTCGCCGTCATCTTGATCCCTAGGCAAGTGGTAGAGCTTAAGTCTGGACTAAGAGCTTAAGTGAACAAGCTTAAGTATGGACAATGTAAATGGACAATGAGTCTGAAAACTGCCTGAACTGGTGATCTCAAAAAGTTTCTGATCAGTGGCATAAAGTCCAAGTAGAGGCCAGTCACTAGCACCAAGACTGAGACCAGGGCCAGCACTGTTCAACATCTTCATTCATTACCTGCATGATGGGACAGATCACACCCTCAGCAAGGTTGCAGACAATACAAAATTGGAAGGAGTAGCTGATATGCTGGATGGCTGCGCTGCCACCCAGAGGAACCCAGACATGCTGGAGAAATGGGCTATGAAAAACCTCATGAAGTTCAATAAAGGGAAATGCCAAGTCCAGCACCTGGGAAGAATAACCCTGAGCACCAGTACACGCTGGGGGCCAACAGGCTGGAGTACAGCTTAGCATAAAAGGATCTGGTGTCCTGGTGCACATGTTAGCCAGTAATGTGCTTGTGTGGCAAAGAATAGTGACAGCCTCCTGTGCTCTGTGAGGGACAGCATTGCCAGCAGATTGAGATAGGTGATCTTTCCCTCTACTCAGCACTGGTGAGACATATTTGGAGTGCTGGGCCCATTTCTGGACTCCCCAGTACAAGACACACATTGACACACTACAGACAGTCCAATGAAGGGACACAAAAATGATTACAACCTTGGAGTATCTGACATATGAGGAGATGCCGTGCACACTGCTATTGTTTAGCATAGAGAAGAGAAGGCTTAGGGAGATCTTATCAAAGTGTATAAGTACCTGACGGGAGAGAATAAAGGTGACTGAACCACACTCTTCTCAGTGGCACGCAGTGACAAGAGAAGAGGCAATGGGCAGAGAGTGACATACAGAAAGTTGCATTTAAATACAAAAATCTTTTTTACTATGAGAGCAGTTAAACACTGAAACACGTTTCCCAAGGGAGGCCAAGGAGTCTCCATCCATGCAGATGTTCAAAAGCTGCCTGGACACAGCTTTGAGCAACCTGCTCTAAGTGACCCTGCTCTGAGTAGGGGAGGGATTTGGATTAGACAATTTCCAGAAGTTCCTTCCAACTTCAACTATTCTCTGATGCTTCGAATGCATTAATCATGGACTCTGTAGTCTTTAATACAGGTATACCTTATCAAATAGCAACTTGAGGTTATTATTAAATTATATTTAATATAATTTTGTCAATGACACCAAACGTATGAATAGTTAATCCCCCAAAATGATCTCTGAAACAGCCATTGGAAACTTGTGTTACTTCACAGCTTCAGTAACTTAGCTCATTACCTGGATCAAAGCCAAAGGTTTTTCTCTGCTCCTAATAAGAGCAGCTTCTTGCTGGAGCTCTTCCTCTATGATAGCTGAAAACATGACAGGTGCTATCACAGGAGAGCTAGTTGGTGATGCTGCTGACCAAGGACTGAAAAAAAAAAACAAATGACATTATGAGGCAACATCAAGAACAAGGTCAGCACAACACACAGAAAACAAGCTCCAGAATCTAAGATACTGTCAAACTTACTTATGACTCTCCAGCTGTGGAGAGTCCAGAACATGGTCTTCTAGGCCTGGGCTACTTCTAGTGGTGCTCCTGGAAAAACATAGGAAAGGAGTGTTAAAGTCACTGACAATTCTCCTGCATCATCTGTGAAGGACAAATTTACTATAGGCAATTACAAATGGGTAGGGTTTTTCCAGAGAAAAGGCATTAGGATGTAAGGCTGAATTTGTCTTTACTGTGATACAGTGACTAGAGGAGACACTGATGCTTATTTCCGACTACCAGAAAGTAACAGCTTTTCAGCTTGGCTATTAATTCTGGCATTTCACAGCATTTAGCATTTGAACAAAGGCGCTTTTTAAAAATAAAACCAGGAAAAAAAAATATGTAAAATAGTTAACTGAGTTATGCGCTAACATCACTGACTATAAATGTTTGTAATTAATATAAAAAGAATATGGCTTCAAGACAGAAAAAAACCCAAACAACTGTCCTGTCTCAAATTAAGTGCTTCATGTAAAAGAACCACTGCTGTGATAACACTAGTAAATTATTTGTTCAAGTGTAAGCTAAGAAATTAAGAGACTTTCTGTACACATCCTGCAACCACCTCTCACATTCATACAAATAGCATAAAGCTGGGACTGAAAAAAAAGAATCCTAAAATACCAGAGTTCCCAGCAGCAAGATATCTTATTCAGCTGCAAAATATTAACCTCTCAATAAAAAGAAGTTGCATTTGGTATGTTGTATGCTTTAAGAGACAAGTATATTTGTCAGAAAAACCCCTCCTCAGC